TTCAAGATTGTTTTAATTTGCAAATGTCAATGAAAACAGTTCTGCTAAAGTTGAACATTGTAAAACCAATAAAATATTTTTAATACAACACGTCTAGTTCTAAACCCCGATATTATGCTAAACCCCCAGACTTTCTTCCACAAATTCCCTTTATCACTGTCAAATTCCTTACCTTGCCAGACTAAATACAAATAGTAAGTATGAAGGTTGTGTCTTTGTTTCAACCTTTAAAAATTTTCTCCAAAAAGCAAAGAGTTTCTGGACTGCCAAAGTGAAGGTAGAGGACCATGCTTTTCCAGTACTTTCACTTATATCTTTGTGATAATGTTGTGCAGCATTTAACATGTAAGGTTTGGGACTGTTTTGCTTTGCATGCTGATTTATTTTAGATGATCTACCTACCAGGCAGGAAAAAGCAGCCAAAGGTAATTTAACTGCCTGCCTGAAAACCCAGGAAAATCTCACTGGGTGTTTACTGAACAACTCTACTTGCTGCTACATCCAGAGCTGGGTCTACGCCATGAGCCTGGGATCCTGTGCCAGCCATTCCCCTGAGCTGGGACCGTCATGCCAGAGCTTGCTGCTGGCCCATTCTAAAGACAGTAAAAAGCTGTACAAGTACACACACACCCACCACCATCCATCACTTGAGATACCTGCACCCCTCTGAGGCCCATGACGCACAGGCACACACGTCTCTGTGTGTGCACATGTGCATGCTGACCCACACGTACATCACAGCATTCCTAAATATGGGGATGCTGCAGGGACAGGCCATTAAGGGCTCCCCTGTAGCTACCCTGCACTGAGGTGGAGAAGAGAGAAATTTCCTCAAGGATAACATTAAAGCTTTCTACTTGAGACCATGAATGATAGCTCTGCCTTGCTGAAACAGAGAGCTCATATCTGGCACTGGAAGAGCTCCCAGCACAAGGCCTCATCACTGGGCATCTCTAATGGGTACAGCCATTTTTAACCTATTTTAAAAGCATTTTAAGATAACAATTTCTCACCTTTGGTATCTTAGAAAACAGATTCATCTCATTACTAAATAAAACATAGAGCATAAAGCATTATAAGGCAAAAAAAAGCCTTTTAAAATTTTTTTTCAAAATTTCTCCAGCTTTTTCTTGGATTTTTTGCAGATGTGTGATACATTCAGTATACATGCTTTAAGCTAAAACTCACTGGCATTTGTAGAAATGGCCTATGCAAATCATGGTTTTACTAACATCCTGCCAAAAAGTCTTTTCTCTCTCATCAATAGCTGTGACTGCATTCATACCTGTATGTATGTGTACATACACACATATGTATGTCTATACATGCACAGAGAAATGAGAGGGACTGACTCCTGGAAATACATGCTTACATGTGTGTACTTTTGCTTTTTTATACATATATGTATGTATATATATGACAAAGAGGTACATATCAATCTTTATACAGGCAAACATATAAAATTGTAAATACCTACACACACATACATATATAAAAATAATATTTAAAACACTTGCATTCTTTCAATTACAGAAAGTTAATCTAACGTGACTACTAGCTCTATTTCTCTCTGCTATGATGATAAGTTTGGTCCTAAAGACTCCCTTGTAATGTAAGACACACTTGCCTCTTGGAAAATAATAAGGAGGATGGTCTGTAAATCACAAAGCTGGTGCAGTGTAGACAATACCAACACTGAGTCTGACAGATATTGAACTCAGAGCTAAGGAAGTAAAAAGAAATATATTATTCATTACTAAAATTTACATTAAAAATCAAAATAAACAAAAAAGCAATTATTTTGATTCCAGTAGGATTTTAAAATGTGGAGAAAACCAGTCATATAAAATTTTCCAATTAAAAAAACCACTGAATATACTCTACATACAATACAACAAACTTTGCATTGTTTCCCCACTGATGATGTTAAAATCTTCAACTCCTGCTAGGTAACCTTGCCTATGAAATAATTGCCTTCACCAAAAAATCATGTACAATAACACTTAATAACAACAAAAAGCAGAAAAAAGTTGAAATTTGGATGAGATATCAATAAGGTTTTCTAGACAATGAGAGAGCAAATCAGAATAGCTTGTTTGAAATATACTCTAACAATTCCAATATCATATCTTGTACACACTAGCCTTGAAAAAAAAATCAATTCTGGGACAATGCATGCTTTTGAGGCAAAGGTCTTTTCTTGTAATAAATTTACTTTAATACAGAATGTAGTATCTTCCCACAGCATTTTTCTGGAAGAGCTTCCCACAAATTTTTCTTTGAATAGGAATTTTACATCAAGTAAAAGTAATTTTGTGAAAATATTATGAAATGTACTCAGGAAGAATTCTGTGTGAGTGACACAAAACACAGTAAAACCAAGCACAGTTACTTCTTTGATCCAGTCTTCTGCTAACTGGCAGCCTGGCTCTGGTTATCTCAGACATCTGCAGTTCTGTTATTCTACATGAAAAATTGTGATTTTCTCATAAATACTGCTCAGTGGGATGAGTTTAAGTACTTTTTTGAGTAATTTGCTAATACCTGGCTTCAGCTGGCAAATTGGAGCAACAAGCAATCATGGTTATCAGCTACATTTTGCCATGCTGTATAGTGTCCTGATTCCAGAACATTTTAATTTCTCACTTATTGTCTCAGAGTAAGATATCACAACAGGGTAATTCTAATCAGGATTTATAAAAGGGTGACTTAAGGAAAAATTTGCTTTGTAGGACATTCTTTGATATATTTCACTATTTGTCATGCTTTTTAAATATGTTACAAAGCAGGGTAAGTTTCAATCTTTTTCAAATCTACTAGTACAACTTTTCAGATGAAACTTTTTTCCATTTTTTCCTTACAGAAACAGCAAAAGATTCTCATCTGTTGTGAAGGTGATGAGCCTTCTTCTGATATTTCTTCTCAGTTTATTTTGTCCCCTTTATAATTTAATTTCTATACTTAACTATCTTTCTGTGACAATCAAGAGTTTCCAATGATTTTCTGTCCTTATGGCCCATAGTTCTATCAAGTAAAACAGTCTTTCCATGAATTGTTGGTCAATTCATTTTGCCTTAAGGATAGCTGCCATGAATGGACTTTTTCCTCTTTTTGGAACAAGGTGATAAAATTTGGTTGTGTTTATATGCATTTTTCTGCTGAGTTCATTGAGGCACAGAGTTCATTCTAGGAACCTTATGGGCTGATTGACCTGAACCCAGGTGATTTAGTCAAGATAAGGGAGAGAATAAAATTACCAAAGTTCAAGGTATGAGTTTCATTGCCAACACCAAAAATAGCACAGTCACCATACCTGTTGCTTCCATGGTTAACATCAATGATACTGAAAGAAAGGCAAAGCATGACTTTGGAGACTACAGAAAGGTATTCAGTGTGTTAATTTTAAATAATTGTGTGCCATTTAAGCAAAAAGAGATTGAAAATATTGCATGGATGTAAGGTTTCTTGCAGCTTTACAACTTCTCCAGACCCCAGGCCACATAAAGGTTGCAACCATGGGAACTCAAAAGTTGACTGTTGTACAGTCGTGCTACCAACTTCCACTGGAGCCTTGACCAAGTCATGTGTTAGCTGTCCTGCCTTGCCTTGTCTGTAAAATGGGAACAGTTGTGTTCACTGACCCATTTAACAAGGCCACTGTAAAATGTACTTACTTAATGTCTATGAAGAGAATAAAAACAAAGACTAGAAGGGCTAGGAGAATAGTGGGCTTCATTCAGCATTATTTTATTTGGGTAGCCAGCTGGATGATTCCTGGGGTGACAATAAGAGGTTGACCCATTTGGCAAAAGCTAAAGTTATTTATATTTGTCTTACACTGAAAATTAACGTCCCCATGGCTTGAGTTTTGGACTAAGCAGATGGTATTCCATATCACAAAGCCAGCAAACACCAACACCACAAGCTCTTCACATTTTTAGATAAGAGTAAATACAAAGGCTATTGTAGAGGTGTGAAAGCAAATTGGGGGGAAGGCAATACCAAAAGAAATATTTCAGAAGAGTATCATTTGGACAGGACCCCTATGACATCACATGGAGTATGTTAAATTAAATGGTCTAAATAAGACAAGAAATTAACAGACTAAGCACTGTTTTGAAAGCCACAGAGTCCTGAATCCAGTTCTACTTACTAACTGGGTGGTCTGTGCAAGAAATTTCATGGTTTTGGGTCCACCTTTTCAATCTATAAAAGGGGATTCTAGCTACCTCATGAGACCTGGGCAGTACCACTGGGTAATGTTTGTAAGAAATCTTAAAAGGAAAAGATGTTGCACAACTGTTACTGACTTTATAAACTTAAATCACCAGGCAGCTGTCCGACAGCTAGTCAGGTTCATTCTTAATCTCTTACATATCTCTCTGTCACTGCTTTCCTGAAGGAAAAAGGTAACTTGTTCAATTTGTGCACAGTTTTACTATTACCTGGATACTTCCTCCAATATACTCAAAGTTAACATACGAGTAATCGAAAATGCCAGTGTAATGACAACGGTTCATTTCTGTACATTACTCTAGGTAAAACAACTCTAGTTACATAGCTGACATCTATGTAGAACTCTATCTGAAGATGCAGTCTTTTATTATAATATCCGAGGATCTCACATGGCAATAATAAACCACAGCTGTGAAAACATCTTGAGTATTTTACATTACTCTTAAACTCTCAAAAGATCTTGAAGTACTTTAAAAACATGAAGATTATTATTCATGCTGTTGGGGAAACTGAGGCACACCTAAACTAAGTGACATGGCCAAGGCTGCACAGAGAGCTAGCGCAGGGAGTCAGCAGCCCCAGAATTTTATGAATCCTGAACCTCAATTTAGAAGTACCGCTCCTTTCAGCTTTTACTTCTCCCACCAAACTTCACATGAGATAGGTGACAGTTTGCACCACACAGTCATTCCCTTCCCTTCTCCGCGGACCAGCGGGATGCCCATCCCAGCTCGCCCACCCCAGTCCCCATTCCCGGTACTCACCTGCTTGTAGGCGTCCAGGAGGAAGCTGTTCCAGACGCAGCGCAGCCCCTCCGAGGTCAGCATCCTCCGCCACTCACCGCGCCCAGACTTAGAGCGGCTCAGAAACAGAACCATGTGCTTCAGGAGAATCACAGAGTCATAGAGCGCAAGAAAGAGGCAATTGGAGAAAAAGACCGGCAAGATCTGAAGCGTGATCAACAAATCCACACTTAGCAGACCCATCTTCCTTGCTGCTTCTCTTCAGCCGGATACCTTCAGCTGTCTTTATTGCTCTGTACCCTCATTTAAAAGAGTAAAGCAAAAGGCATTTCAAAAGCCTCATTACCCATTTCACAGCTGCTCTATTTAAAATAAGCAGAGATAGTTAAGTATGAGCAGGCTGGTTAAAACCATAACTGCACGATACTCATTCAATTGCAAGCTGCTTCTTTTTCAGAAATTTAGATGTTAACAAAAATTCTTCTCTTAACCAGGAGACCTGATTTTGCTGAAGAGAGAGGCAGCTCTGTTTCCAGTTCCCTGCAGTTACAAAATTTAAGCTGAGACTGTTAATTGTTAACTTTCCTGCACTATCCCATTGTTTCTCGGATATTTAAGCACTGAACAGACCTCTCATTTCTGTGTCAGTAAAGCTAGCTACTAGGTGCAACAATACTTAAAAAAAAAAAAAAAAAGGTTTATGTACATAAACTTTCTGTTCCTTCCTCCCTGCTTCCCTCCCTCTCTTTCCCTCTCTGCCTCCCCGTCCCCCCCTCCTACTCCGCGTCTCTGTATTCCTGCCTTCCTCCTCTCGAACGCTCTCTTTGCTATCTGCCTATGGTGCAAAGTGCTCTCCTCTCTGGAGTCCTAGCTTGCTTCCCTGAAGCCTTTTATACATTCCCTAGCTAATTGCTGCAATAGAGAAATGAAACCCTAATCTTAGTAAAGATCTTGACGTCAATGTAAAAGAGGGCTTTACTTTGGCCAGGACTGCAGTGAATAGAAAAAATGAAATTCTCAAAACTTTTTTTTTTTTTTTTTCCCTTAAGAGAGAGGAGAAAAAAAGAGAGACAGAGAGCAAGGGTGGAACTTTGCTTTGCTTTGAAAAAGAGAAAGAAAAACCCAGTATGTTTCTGAATGTTCTTACAACATACTTCCAATTTTTGGGAGAAGTATTTTCATGTGACATGGAAGGTGACACAGCAACACAGACTTCTGTTATTGATAGGTTTTTTCTCATAGTTGGTTTTTTTTTCTTTGTCCTTTTTTCTTTTATTTGAAGGTGTGTGAGTTGATGCATCCCAAGAAAGGGCACATTTCTGTAATATTTTTCTCCCACCTGCCTGAAATACATGTATAGTGTTTAAATATCTTTTGTTGTTTTCTTGGCAACATAAGTGAACACCTATAACTGACTTCATCTACTGATGTGTAAGACAAAAGAGATAAGAAAGAGAGAAAATAAGTTTCTTATAGATTTGGGGTTTTGAAGCTAAAGTTCCCTGCCCAAAAAAATATATGCTTCAGCCTTAAATGCTGTTAAATCAACTGAGCTTCAAGGATTGTTATAATATTCCCCTGTGATAACTATGTACATCCACTAGTCCACTAAGGAAAACTAACTTTTGGTTAAAAGCTTGTAAAGAAAAAACAGAAAGAAGTTTCTTCTGCCAGAGCCATTACTACTTTAACAATTGCAAGTACCCCCTTCAGCCCCATGCTGAAGGGTTTTTTGTTCATTTGCACTTCTCTTTGTTTCACTTTTTTTAGTCCAATACTTAGTCCTCTTCTCACATGATTTTTTTTAGGGATGCTACAGTAAATGTGTTTGTTTGGGGATTTTTTAGCATGGTTCTAAATCCCTTAGGTAAATATTTCATGTATTTCCTCTTGCATCCATAATTTTGGGGTTTAGATGTCTTCACTATGTGCTTACATAGGTTCTCCTCGCCGGATATATTTTATTCCCAGAGATGCCAGCATGATATCTAGCCTCTGTCAACTCACATCCTTGATGAGGAGTACAAACTTACTTCATTAATATATCTTAGTCTTCATCAGTCATGACTATCCTGTCACTGCTAGCAAATGCAGAAGGTAAACACCATCAATGTTCCCTACTCTGGGATCTTTAATTTTCAGACATTGTAATATCACTTGGCCTGTCATTATACTAGGATGTACACCTCTAGAAAAGCCACTCCATGTCTTGTCTTGTTCTCTCACCAAAGAAAAGTTTGTTTAGATAGCTTAATTTCAGGCTTTCGCAAAAGATATCACCCAGACAGGATATCTTCCAGCAAATGTTTACTCTTACAAATAACTTTAAAAGGTTACACACATTAAACCAATGACTGTCTGCATTACTAGCATAAACAAAACAAACAAACAAACAAAAGATTGAGCTTCTTTTTCAAACTGTTTTTAAGTCAAATGTTGGTGATGACAGTGTTCTGTTGCCATAGAAGGATTGAAGCCTCACAGATCTGGCTTTATTACTGAAACTTGCAAAAACACGTTATAAGAAGGCATTTATATATCCCCACTCATGGATGAGTCAGTGTGCTCATGTCATGTGAGCACAAGACAGGAACAAGGGTCCCTAGAGCTGCTAAACTCGCTTACTGTCTGACCTCGGGCAAGCATATGTAATCACTTGATTACAAGCACTCTTAAGCCTAAGTTACTCTTGTGTAGATTCTCCACTTAAAAAAATACATGATTCTGTCTGGGAAGGTCCCCTTTCTTTATTTTGGGAAGGTCTGTTAAACGGCAGGCCTGGAGATTGTTGATGACAGTGCCAGATGAATCATCAGCCATTGTTTCTGAGAACAGTTTGCAAACAGCTCTGAGGACAGTCCAGCTCAGGCTCTTCCTGTTCCCTGGAGGTAAAGTCAGGCAAGAACTTACCCTGGGAACACAATGTATTCTGGGTTCCTGTGAAACAACTGCCCCTACCCACAGAATGCTTCATGGGTGAAGAGGTTGTTTGTAAGACAGCTGGAGACCAGACAGCTACAGAGCTTTGAAGTGCACTGGGAGCCAGGCAGGAAGCCCATGGAGCACTGGTGTGAGATGGTAGTGCATATTTGCTGTGTCACCTTTTTTGCCTATAAAGCTGACTGTGTAGATAGAGTTAAACAGAACTACAAAAGTCAAAAAATTTTCAGTCAAAAAATTCATAACTCCCTAATATAACCATAAAGACATAAATCTTTTGAGTAAATAACTGTAAAAATAGTTTTTCTCATTACTGTCTTCAGAAGCAGCCTGTCTCTGCAGGGCACAAGGCTCTTCTAGTCAGCTTGACAGTAGAGCTCAGCAGCCCACAACAGAGATGGAAAGCTTAACCCTACTTCTGGTCAGCAGTCAATAGTTTTTCTCCTTCTTGACTGGAACATTTGATCCCGCTGCTTATTTCTCTCAGACGTCAAAAATACAAGGGAAATCACTATTTACATCTTTTGTGAAAGTCAGGTATGTAGAACATAATCTCACTTTTGAAGCCAACAGTCTTGCTATTTCCCTGCAGATGGTCATGAAACAAGGAAGAAAGGCTACATATTTCAGACCTTGAAACATTAAGAGAGCCTTGAAGTCTAGAAGCCTTCCTTCTTGAAGGAAAACTGGATGAATTTGATACATGAGGAAGAATTAGGTAGGGCTGAATTTACACATGAAAGAACAGAGATAGGGTTCAGCTAAAGCTCATTTCAATTACCTGCTCTGCCATACCTACCAATATAATTTGGGCATAGCCCTACAATGTACCTCAGTTCTTCATCAGCAAAAGAAAATAAAAGTCCTCTCGTAATCTAAGGAGCAGTCAGGTTCAGTAATGGGAAATTAAACATATCATCCATAATTTGTCAAGGTGGAATGAGCAAAGCCAACAACTTTAAAGCATTTACTGTTACTAAACCTTGTATGTGGCTAAAGTCAACAGTATCAGTATAGATGTTCATATTCTGTAATGTTTATAAAAATCAGTGCCATCAAAACCAAAACCGTGCATAGCATCATGTTTCTTTCCAGTTTCAACCACAGTAGCACGAAGATTAGGACATAAGTCCCTAATAAGTTTGTTTACTCTCTTGATAACTGTATCTGGACACAGAAAATTTGAGGTAGAGTTACCACAGCTCAGGCGACTTCCTATAATCTCATTTTATAGTGCATCCATAGTAGCTTTCTGCATGCCAGAGAGTGTATTTTGCAATATTCACTTTTTTGTGTAGGTTTTTAGCTGCTTGTTGCCTAAGGCACTGTGGCAGTGAATCACACTGTTTCAAGATACTAGAGTACAAACCAAGTAGACTGATTGATATTTTGGTCTTATTGGCCTTATTTTCTCCAACTAAGCAAGACTGTTTCTTCTTCCCAAGTCAACCCATCACATGCACTTACTCATTGCAGCACAGCTGTGGAAGAGTACCTCAGAGTGACAGGCAAGCAAAGCTGCTGCTTGGTCCTACCCCCAGGAGGTTCATGGGAGAGATCATCCCAAAGGATTCAGCACAACCTGTGTGCCTGCCGTGCTGCTTCTCACTGCTTTCACTGCCAAAACCAAAGAATGAAGCTTTTTGTTTCAGACCTAGTTAGTGTGTCCATGAGCTTATCCCTGGAGAATTGTGCAGCTGCAGAGTGATACGGCTAGAGATGGAGAAGAGAAAAGTTTAGCTTAACCTTGCTGCCCCGGGCAAAATTTGTTTATTAAAGCCAAACAAGAATTTGTACCTCTCATAAACCCACATTTTTTCTCTTTGCCAAAAGAGAAAAATCACCCCCATCTCTCAGCAACAATTCCCTCACTTCAAATGCCATTGAGCATTCACTGTCTATTTACATTTTTTTATTAGGATCAGCAGCATATTTTCTTAAAAGAAATTATATGTTTAATGAAAAAAGATTTTTTTTCCCCCACACAAGTTGCAGTGTTATCTGAATGGATTACCACGGTGTGGATCTCCAGGCCTTACCTTCCTCCATCACTCCTGGCCACATCACTCCATCTGAATGGAGCACTGTTCATGCTCAGCCTCATTCTGCCTGCTTAAAGCTGCCTCTGCTCTCTACAGGAATTTGCTTACCAGCATTTCCAAGGTGAGCACACTAAATCTATCCTTATTGCTTAATTTATTTACCTTTTGTATAAGCCTTGGTTTTGCTTTATTTGGGTTATTCTACCATTGCCATTATGCTGCATAATTGAGAGTTGATTATTTTGTGAAACTGCCAGCTGTGAGAGGTGTTGATTTAATACGCCAGAGACCTGTTTCCCTAAGTTTATCTGCAGTGCAGCCAAGTACAGGTAAGAAGAATGCAAATTGCCCACAGGAGCAGCTCTCCATGACAACTTGGAGTGAAGTCCCCTGAAGCAGATAAAGAAGGTCACCCTCACTGCCCACTCAGTCCACAAAGCAGTGCCACAATCAGAGGTCATTTAATCCAACAGAGGCCAAACTGGGACAGTATTCAAATGAACTAAAGAAGAAAAAAGAAGAAAAAGAGATAGCAAGTTATACCTAGATACACCAGGAAGTAACTGAGGTTGTCTTATAATCAAGCTGCAGTTGTTCAGAAAGACTGAAGTGCACAAGAAGTGGGACTGCTATTGCCTCTGCAAAACCTGTTCTGTAAACTTCAAAGCTGTCATTCTGGCACCTTCTAAGAGCCTGC